GGCCGTCATATCACTTCCTCCTCCAAATGGGCTATCTCTGCCCAAGCTGCAATATAATACAGCCTTCTTAATAACGGAATAGCTTATATTCTTTTATATCTCGATGACTTCATTGGCTCAAGTTTATTACTGGAAAGTCGTTTCCTCATTTTTTACGCCGCTATTGTTACTTAAGGTACCAAGGTCATAAATAGGCGTCAATTTGCTGATTCAGTTTTGTCCAAAATTACTACGCTTCATATAAGCTACCAATATTATCAATTAGCTCAAAGGACAAAATCACAACATTATTAATTTATGAAGAAGGCCTGTAACTTCGTCAGTCATCAAGATAGGATGAGGCTTTATACATATTTTCTCTATATTCATCTGTTTCCTGATGAAGCTACAATATGAAAATCGTAAGTCCTCCTCGATCAAGCCAAGCCCATCTTTGACATCACATGTTTATATTCTTTCTCCTAGACTTGCTTTACCTGACCACCATCAGGACTCTACGATTATCCGCTACCGCCTGAAGGATTCATCGTCGACACTCTCCCTGTATGGACTGTTGATGGTTCGAAATTGCCGACACGATCAGCCATTTCGTCAAACGTATTTGACATGACCAAGATTATAGAACCCTATTGCCTCTTCATTTGATATTTACAGTCGTACATGTTGACGCTTCACATTTGGCACATAAATGGTCCTTCAACATAATGTTTTGCCAGTTCTGACTTCTTCGATCAAACTCAGCATGATGTACTTGGGTTTTGGGTACGAGTATCGATAGCATACAAGAGACGCCTGTTGTGTATAAATTTTTCAGGTCTGAAATTTTTCTATCGTTTGCTAAGGAAATGATACATCGCAAAGCGCTTTTGCCATGGTTGCCTTCCCCGTTGACTCGATTTATTCACTCTACGATCGTCCGGCTATCATTTCTCTTTTCCGATCGGTTAGATTTTCCATTGCATACCGATATGCTTTCGCTCGATCACATTACTTCGTTTTTTAATGCCGTCCGCAATTTTACCTTACGGGCACTCGACTAAATTTCAACAAGACATTTTTTGACCCTTACCTGCTCGACAATTTATGAGCGTGTTCCGTCACCATTGAATGCGATGCGCCTTCATCTCCAGCTTTTGTACAAAAAGATGACTCATCAGATATTCATATACAACGAATTCCCAATTTCCAACTATTCACTTCAGTGACAAATAATATTACGACCAAGCCGAAGATCTATGTTATCTTTTAGTGAGTTAATAAAAAGCTTATTATGTATTTCCGCTCCTTTTTCAAATTCAAGTTGCTATTTTTTTTGCTATGAACTATCTGGACGCTTCGCGTAAGTGCGAAAGATTATAGTAATATATAGCCGCCACATTCGGTTTCCGTTACGGTTATGCCGTCTGAAATGTAGGTATGCCTTACTGCTATTGTCTTTTAAGCTGTCCTTTTTCAGGGTTCGACACTATTTTTGGGAAGATTGACCTTATTTCGTCCTATTTTTTTCTGAAATTAACCAAACGTGATCGCAGCACCAAAATTCACCACCGTTTAACAATCTTATTCACACCCGTGACGGCTCACGCAGATGAACATAGTGATCCGGATCATGTGTAAGGGTCAGTGAGTGCCAAAGCTAGTTCGCGGGCGGTATCCCGCAATACTTGGCGCACGTCTGGCACAAGTGTCAGATTGCCGCCGGCACATTTAGCGATCTCGTTGCCGGGACTCTTATGGCTCCTACAATGCAGGGAGGGAAGACTTCAGCACACATACTTGTGAGGATACGGATGGTTTGATCGAACGTCGTGGGCCGGGTCTAGCACCCGACCCGGACAGACTCCGTGGTGCATTTGCTGATTGTAGGCATGGGTGAAGAGAGTTATAGGGGTACAGAAGTTATGGGGTACAGAAGTCAGATTCAGGTACGCAGAGCAGAAGAGTAGAAGAGCACCATTGGATTTGAAGCGAGATATATTGGTGTCGCCTCGCTCGTTCTCTCGCCTACGCGTCCACGCCATGGGCTTAAGCTTTTTGAAGCACATAAAAGTCGCTTTATGAAACAGGGTGGGAACAAGCGTGTCGTCCAACACCGACCCCGTTTACGTGAGCTCGGTCCCATCGATCCTGGCCGAAGTGCTAATGCCCGCGTAGGTGGTTGTATGCGTCGCCGGCTTCGATGCTCTTGGTATTGATGAGACGTTAATAATGATTCCGACCAACGTCTCCGAGAATGTCATCGGCACTCCGTACGGTATTACCAACAGCGTCATCTGCGCCATCATGATGCTGATGACGATGATGATGAACAATTCCGTACGTGGTTGTTGCTGCGACTGCAGTGAGCACGAGGCAAAGGAGAAGCTTCATCGTGGAATGCAAGCTGGTGTGGAGAGACTGGGGGACACTTGGGAGGTCTCGGCAAGATGCAAAATGATACAATAAATAGGCCTGCGATTCGAACCGACCTCGAGTCGAACGGCTCGAATCAAAGCTGCTTTCTGGTTGTCCAGGAAATAATGACATTCGTACTGAAGAACGTATGCTGCCGACACCAAATGGTTTGATGCATACGACCGAGACAGGCGAAGCGATGCGACTCTTGCTGGTCCGAGATTTCAGTGCAACATGCGATCCCTCTCAATCCATACATGGCAGCCCATTCTGACGTATCACGAAACACCACAGTCATTGTACCGTTCATTACTTCTAGCAGTCGTCTCACTGACTATCGAAGCTTGTATCGTTTGTATCCTTTGTCCCGTGGGACTACTGATACGTCCATCATACGGGGGCCACCGCGCCCTCTGGGGTGCTTAGCCAGCAAAATTGCTCGCCAAAAAAATGTGCGGTTTTCCAGTGATCAGCATGTGAAATGTACCCTGCGCCACGAATTCGAAGTCACCTTCGCTGACAACGTATTGCTTGATATGGTCGCAGATTCTACAACGATCTTCTCCGAGGGGTATGTATGGTCGACCATGACAAGGACATCTAGATCCTTTGATCAGTCGCGGTGGACGACCGGCCAACGATATCGCATGCATCCAGCTGTTCGAGTGCGCCTGTCCTTCCGCCCGGACAGCAAGGATCGAAAACGCGAAACCGCTGCAACCGATGGTGTGGAACCACATCGCTACGAGGGATGAAAGAAAGAGGGAGAGTTTGCAGCTGCTGAACGGTCCGAGTACCAATACAATACGCACCTCAGCGACCGCATACATCGCAGCAGATGCTCGGAGACGAGCACATCAGCGCTTATGCAAGACACGCCTTTGCCCCCTCGAAGAAGAAAAGAAGAGGTCGATCGAATGCAGGACACCCGACGCGACGTCATTCCGCTTGGTAAGCGCGGCGGATAGACGGCCATAAGCGAAGTAAATCACAAATATAGTAGGTCGTACGCGTACCTAAATTTACCTCACCTTCTCACTCACTCCCGGTCGTATATGGTTATTGATTGGTCTGTGGTTGTCAATGTCGGTTCCTACTATGCAATTGCAATTCATTCGGTATAGCTTCGCTAGCAGAGTACCCCTCGTTTCTTCTTTGCCGAAACAAACATACGAGCTACAAGCGAGACGTTTCCTAGACTCATAGACGCGTTTGTGAATGTCTGCGGTCGGGTGTGAACAAGCTCATTTGGGTTCCAAGCGTCCATGCACTCTCTAGAACGTCGAGAAAATGGTCGTCAGCAGGTTGAAGAGGAAGAACTAGCCATGTCGGTCTCGGTTTCACGGCCGATGATATAGCGTGCGCTTCGGGTTTTGAAGGAGGATATGCTCTTTTGGTCACGAGATTGATTTCAAACGTGAGGTGCTGTCTGAGTGCCTGGCCAGTCATATTGAGACCGCCTTGCTAGTCACTTAGGCTAATGCGATTTGCCCTTAACTAATTGGATGAATGCGAATGTACTGGATCATTGTTGTTCTAAATTCATACAAGTAGTCGATTATTGAAATCGCTCCTACCTATATGCGGGCTGCTCCATCTTTTTGGCTCTCTGCAATTCTTTCGGTACAGTGCCATACTCGTCTTGTTGTCACTTTTGTTTTGTGCATATTCAGCCAGCGTTATGTGTAAACAAGCTCTTCGGTGGTCGAGACGCAGACATTGGCAGAGACATTGTAACAGTGTTGTTCATAGAAGGAAGAGGTCGTTCATGATAAAATCTTTTACTCGATGTTCGGATGGATGGGAGAGGCTAACGAACTGTTGAAGATGACGATTTGTACGGGTCGCGCCAGAAATGGATGCATTGCTCGTGGCTGATTGACTGGACACGGGCTGGGCTAGGAACAAAAAGGGTGAGCATAGGGAGAGCTGCATTCTACGTGACGCACGTTACGACAGGGCTGACACATAGCAAAAGAGTAAGGTTATAGTGATGTATGCAGTTCTCGAATTAGATGCGCTGTGCGCGTGGTAAAGAAGCATAGGAAGTTCCAGGCACGCCATGAGATCTCGGAAGTAATGGCTGTTGCAATGCTGTTTGTCTGCAACCGCTCGGTGATCATGTGACGCGCAGCTCATCGAAAAGCTGATGTGCCAAGCTATGCGATCCAATACTAGCAAAACACCCACTGACGGTCCTGCAAGTAACTCGCAAGTCCTTCAACTAGACTCACACAGATAGACAAGTCAGCTGCTCAGACCTGACAAATGCTGTTACATGCCATCTGTCTAACATCCGAGATCAGCGAGACTCGTGCGGTGGAGGTTTGCAGATTGGCCTTTCAGTTTGTCGACGCGTGCCAACATTCCAATAGCAGACGATGACTTACGCGTCCGGGCAAAGTGCATTGCGATGGCCACTTCTATATGCTGGAACAAGATTCGTTAGCACAGCCAATACAGCACGAACCGAAGCTAGCACGAAAACGGGGAAAGAAAAACGCGTATTCGTTGTCAGTTCGTTCGTCGCCACTTGCGTCTATCCGTCGAAAGCCACGGACCTCCGAACCCATGCGACACGGAGCAAACAAACGCAAAAACACGGCTTAGCAGTTCTGGTGAGGCTGTTCGTCCGCGCAGGCGCCGTCGGACACTTTCGTGAGGTGTAGATCCGGATTTTTACAGCTCGCGATTCCCAGCTCACAGGCGTTGCCGTATGTCATGCCGTTGGAGCCACACACTGGTGTGTACACGGCGGGACACACGTCTGGACAGGATGCCACGTCTTTGCCCGTACCCGTCATCGTCTCGTTCGCCTCTAAGCTGCCGCCTTTGGCAGTCTTACACTCCCCCTCGTAAGCCAAAGTGATGCTGGGAACGTAGCACGCGATGGCTCGCAGCATACAAATGTTGTTGTGCGTGATGCCGTCCGAGCCACACACGGGCTCGTACGTCTCGGCGCACAAGTCCGGGCAGTTGCTGAAGTTGTCGCTGGGTCCAGCAGAAGAAGGATCAGGGCACTGTCCCTCCGACGCCCGCGTGATAGTGCCCCCGCTCTCACATTGAGCAATTGCAAGCTGGCAGCCGTTCTCGTAGGTGACGCCGTCTGATCCGCACATAGGAGCAAAGATTTTGGGGCACGGTGTGACGCAGGCGGCGGCTGGCTTGGCGCTTTTGCACGCGCCTTTGGACGCAAGGGTGACTTCCTCGACACTGTCGCAGTTTGCGAGTATCAGTAGGCACTGGTTCGTGTACGTCACTCCGTCGGAACCGCAGACCGGATCGCTTTCGAAACTGCACCTGATAGCACATCGGCTGTCAACTTCTTGACCGTGACTAGGCGCAATGGCGGCTGCAGTGACGGCGAGCACGAGGCAGATGGAGAGCTTCATTGTGTAGGCGGCGTTGACGGGTGGCGAGTTCGGTGCAAGTTGTGGAATGGCAAAGACAGCAGTGAGCCAAATAGGGCGCGAGAGCGCGATCGGTCAGAAGGGGGACACTCCACCGCGACGGACTGTCCACGGCCGTCCGTACAGCCGCTACCGGTATCCACTGAACAGGTGATGCCGCCCATGTGTTCGTCTTCGTGGTAAACGTAGTGACACGCGTGGAAGCAGAGGTCAGTTGGGGACCAGGCAACGGTTGAACGCAGGCATTGTCCCGGATGCCCTGAGGTTCTACTCGAGCTCAATGAATCTGCACAGAAGATAGAGATGGGCCCACGCGCTCGCTTTCGATCGCAGATAATGGACGGACAGTGCCTGCGTAGCCTCCGACAGACGAGCGCGTTGCGAGAAAAAGGATTCACCTCGTCGCCGAAAGCCTCGTGCGCGAAACCGGATGTCGGTTCCAGGGATAGCCTTTTCGTGGCGCACGTGAAAACGTCTCGTGGCATCTGGTCAGTGTTTGCACATTGCGTGTCGATAGTAGTAGCAACAACGTGAAGCAGAGGTGGACGATAGAGGTCAGTAGGAAGAAGACCCGACAGGTCGAGAGAGTTGGGCGGAACGGGCGATCTCTGAAGTGCGACCGTCAAAGTGCAGCAGCTCGAGCGATGTGCACGCGCTTCGTGCGCTTTGACATGGGTTACATACGGTGCTATAGGGAGTGGATCTCGTCTTCTTGCCCATAGAGGCCGCAACTCGGTGCACGCATCTCTGCCACTCTCTACTGTCGTCGGTATGGATTCATCCGACGACAGATGGACTCATCCGACGATGTGCTTCCGTCGTATCAGCGCAGCGCTGTCTGCGACTTGTTCGCTACCGCAGGTCCAGTTGTTCATCCGACGGTTTGTGCTGGAGCTGCTGTCGTTTGGCTGCAAGTGTCTCTGCACTGACCCATCTCTTCTCCGACGCGAGCATGTAACAAACACTCCGGTACATTCGACTGCTGTCTGGAATATAGCGAAAAGTATGGGAGAAAAGCGACAAGATGGCCGCCTTCCGACCAACTCATGCGACAAAAACATGATCGAGTACCTAAGGAAAGATCACCGGCCACGCAGAAGCTTTTGCTCGTCTAGCAGAACGTACGCGTTTGTTTCACTCGGGCAGAGCCACGCGGTGTATCGTTGACCAACTTCAACACTGAAGCACCACTAGTTTCGTCGACTCTTGGACATCGAAGCAAACAAACGGTCGTTTTTGCTCCCACACGCGTCGCAGGGATTGTGTTGCCCACACTATCCTCGCAGCCACTCATTTTGAAAAGCTCCGAGCCAAGGAATGAGCTCGTCAGTCATCATCCATTCATTGCCTTCATCATTCATTGCGCGATCGCGATGGTGGCGTTCTGGGGCTGTGGCGTGACAGAGACCAAAGCAGTGGCCGTGGACGTCCCCGAGGGCTTTGTGCTGAATGTGTGCAACGCAACATGCGACACCTCCAGCACCGAAACGCAATTAGTGGTGGGTCTCGAGACCCAGCAGCTGGATGGCAAAGTCTGGAAGGGTGCCGTCGCGCACTTGGGCGCCCCACAGCCCCTACAGATCAAGCTGGATCTGGTCTTTGGCCACAGGGTCAAGTTCTACTTGGCCAAAGGCATGGGCGCTGTCAACCTGACTGGATACTTCCAGCCGGGTCCCTCTTCTGCCTACTTGGCTGAGAACGAAGACGAGGACCCGTCTCAGATCGAGGCGACCAGCGCACGAAAAGGCAAAAAACGTGCTCGTGAGGAAAAACAAATAGAGCCAACGGGACGCGATGAGGTGCGTGTGCGTGTCGAACGAGCGAGTAGCGATGTGTCTATAGATGACGTTCCATTTGTAATTTACGTCCGTGGTCCTATTATCGATACCACGGAAGTCCAGACCAGATGGGATAGCAATGTGTATGCTATCGTGACGAGAGTTCTTCTCGTCCAGTACTCGCGCATGGTCCTTAAGGCTGTCTCCGTGCCGACGCAGGGCGGGTGTTGTGGCTGTCTCACTTGTGCCAGCTGCACTGCGATCCAATACGTGTTGCTCTCCGTGCCATTCCACTTTGCACCTAACTGCTTGTCGGAAACGATGGCGGGAGGAGCGGGTGGGGTGGTGCATGCCGGAGAGTGACGGTATCGGGGAATGTTTGCTCTGGCGAGACGGCACTTTGAGCAACGTCTGCCTATTGCGTCTGTAAAAGGCTCTTGCGGTCTTTCCTGTCGGAATCATACGAGTCATAACTGTGCAACATCCAGATCCATGCGTGTCTTGCGTTTATCGCCAGGTGTCTTTACAAGAGTGCTAATGGGTTGGTGCATGTATGTCGTAGGTGTCAGCATTATCGAGTCACTCGAAGAACGTGTCGGAGAAAAGCGCAAAGCCGGCCGCTGCGCCATCTTCTGTGGAGAAGCCGAAGCAGAAGAAGGCAGACGAGTCCCCTGTCGTCCCTGCGCCGTCGAACCCCGTTACATCGACAACGGGTTCGGCACACAAGAAGAAGCGCAAGAAAAAGCACAAGAGCTCTGCTGCAAGTGAGAGCACTCCTCCGTAATCAGCGTATAAAATCAGCAGATGTTCGCTCCCTCTTGTCTTCGTCGCTGCAAACTCCGCTGACACGGGCTTTGTCGTGATACCTTGCTCCTGCTAGGACGCTTGCCAGCGTCTACGCTCGAGTGTGTTCCTCATCGGTGCTCGAGATGGCAATGCAAAGCACGAAAACGACGTAGATGACCCAGGAGACATTGAACATCCGGAACGCGTGCTGGTTGCCTCGGCCAATGCACTTACCCATCCACGGACAGTGGTGGTCATAGCCAGCGATGCAGGCGCCGCAGTCGTCACAGTGCTGCGTCGAGCGGTCCTGGTGGATGCCGCAGATGTCACAAAAGCGACGTCGTCTCGCACACGACCGGCCATCATCACCTGCACCACCGTCTCCAGCTTCCAACTCTGCTGCCTCGAGCTCGTCTAAAGTCCGTGACAGGCCGTCTGTCGTGCGCAGCGGCTGCACAATGCCGGGGTCCGCGCAAGCCGTGCGCAGCAGATAGTAGAGCGTCACCGCGCACAATATCCACGTCAGGAGTGTGGCGTAGAATGGCATTGTGGCCATGCGCTCGAAGAGGAACATGCCCGTGCACAGCAGAATGATACCCGATGTGATCAAGACCCCAATCCAGTGCGGCCCGACGACTACGAGCGTATATGTCTTTGCATCGCCACGTCGCTCGTACAGGATCTGCCGTCAGTATAGTCACAACACGCCAAGACGCGACGTGAGACTTGCAGCGATCCGACACGAGCGGATCTATTGGTACCACAACTGTAGCCATTGTCACCCGTACCACCACTTACGTAGCCATGTCCGAGTCGCTTGAACTTGCAGCAGCAGAGACGAGCGAGCGGGTCCGAGCTGTTCAGTGGCGGCGCGAGACCTATGAGCAACGCGTTTTGGTCGCCTTCGCCAGTCTGCACCTGTTGGACGCCGTCTTGCAAAGTCGGCCCTTTCGCGTCGCGCTGGGAACGGACAGCAGACGTTCCAGTTGCTCGAACACAGCGCTTACTGTCGTTGCGCTCGATGCTCATGGGAACGAGCAATTGATTGGCTTGGCACGCAATCGGCAGCGAAGGGACGAGAAAGTGGCGTCTAAACGGCTATTTTGCCTCACAAAGGGATCTATTGCTCCATTCTACAGCGACGTTTTGCACGTTCGCGTCCACGAGAGACGACTCGTGTTCCTCTTCTAGCTACGATTTGCACCTCTATGAAATGGTGCAGCGACTCCACGTCGACGCTTCCGCTTCGTCTTCGACAGCAGCTGTCGTCTCTGCGTCCGTGCTACTTGAAGACAGGGCGCAGGCAGCCGTGATGCGCTCGAACAGTTGGCGGTCGGCCTCGGCTTGTTCGACTTTGGCCTTGGCGGCTTCAGCTGCCACGTGCTCATCGTACGTGGTGACGGCCACGCCAAGCTCGGCCTTGACGGCGTCATCCATTGCTTCCACCGGCTCGGTCAGTATCACAAACGCATTCTGGTCGCTCTCCCGCACGATGCGCTGCACCTTGGACGACTTGAACACGTCTTCCATGCGCACGTGCTGGATCCGGCGTTTCGTGGTGCTAGTGACACGGTACACACGAGCGCGGTCGATCATCTGCGAAACGTTGTCCAGGTCCAAGAAACTGCCGTCCGAGATCATGAGGTTCAGCTGGTTCTTGTAGCTCTTCAGTTCCTCGAGGCGCACATTGAGGCGAGTAGAGCCGCCTTCTTTGGGCACCGACTGGTCAAGCAGCTCACCTTTGGCGTCATGCGCCAGCAACCCCAGGAAGCAGAAAGCTGTCATGAACGCATCGAATCCAGCCTCGTGACACAATGTCCTTTCACTGCCGTCGGTCTCAGTCTTGAGTGCCTCACGATACGTGTCAAAACGCTCGCCACAAGGGATCAAGCTTTGAGGATCCGGCTTGACGTTCTCGCGCATGTACTCGAACAGCGACGACAAACTGGTAGATTTGAGCTTCTCACCAAGTGTAGAACGCAGCGCGACATGCTTGGTGTCGTAAATAGTCGGAAACAGCTCGAGCAACTGCATCTTGAACCCGGCCAGCGTCTCAGGGAGCGGCTTGTAAAACTGGTGGAAGACGTAGACGAAATCCAGCAGTGCATTGTGCCCGACGACAGGCAACTTGCTCTCACTCAGAGCTTCAATGACCTTGGAAAACCCAATGGTCTCATCCATCTCGCGCCGCATCTCCTCCACCTTGGCAGCAATCCGTTCGTCTTTTAGCTTCTTCGACAAGAACGACACTTCGACGCCACCTACCGCACGCTCCGAGTACAAATAGCTCGCTTTGGCCCGTACCGTCTCATGCACAATCATCGAGTAGAACGAGTTTCGCGTGGGCACCACTAGTTTCTCGCCCTTCTTGGCCCCTTGCGAAATCCACTGCGTCAGCTGCTCGTCCACTTGTCGCTGGAATGCGAGGCCGTCACTCGAGAGACGCAAGTTCTTGTTCACTTTCGTGAGTCCGTCAATCCGACCCTTGAGCTGCTTCTTCATCACGGGCAGCGTGGCCAACTTGACGAACGCAATGCCGTCTCCAATAAACTTGTTAAAATCAAAGCCATGATCCGAGAGGAACTGGAGACTCGACGCTTGGCACAAAAAGCGCTCGTCCAGAGCGCCGTACGGACGTGGGAACACGTAAAAGTTCCACGTTTTGACCTGCACGTGCTGCTCGTCGTCCACGTGGACGGTCGAGAGTCCAAACTGCGTGATGAGGAAGCTCTCGCCTGCGCGCTTGACCTTCTGGTAGCGCTCTTCCAGCGTGTCGAGGTAGTGCTCGCGCTCGAGTTCGCTGGGCGACAGGCCCGTGAACTCCGTGTCAATGGCTACAAAGCAACACGACGGAGACCTCAAGTCGTGCTGCAAGTCTCGCAGACACGACGCAAAGTTGTGCCGCGTGACGTTCATGTGAACTAATGAACGGCCGTCGCTCGATAGAGCTATTGGGTCAGTGAAGACGTGTGCTGCTGCTGTAGGTGCGGGCGCTGTGACAGGTGTTACGGATAAAGAGGGGACAGCTGCTACGGGCGATGCTGATGGCGACAGTGACGAGGCGGAAGCTCTGAGAAGAACGGGGCGGGACACACGGGCGCAGAAGAGCGGCGAGGAGCGGTAGAGCGACGACTTGGAGCCGACTCGTAGCATCCAAGCGATTCAACCAGTCGCGTGGCAGTTGGGTACAAGGGCGAAATGTATGGTACCGTGTAATTTACGCATTGTCAGTTACTTTAGTGCCGAGCGTAAAAACAGAAGTGGATTATGGGTTGTGGTCTTTTTGCCGAAACTGATTGCGATATTACCGCATTGTTTTTAGCGTGTTTGTTTTTCGTTTATACTATAAGAAAGTCTCGTAACGTGGGTTAAACGTCTTTACATAACTGCAAAACTCTACGGCTGATAAAACCAAGACCTTTAGAGCTCAATTTTTCTTTGGGGATTTATAGGTATACACCCACCCTTTGATACGTACACCCACCTAAAATAGAGGCCCCTCCTTAAGTACCGCAACCTCCCGAGCGAGGCACCGCACACTTATGCATACAAAATGCAATATAAACATTCTTTGCTTTGTACACGCCCCTCCGTAATACAGGCCTCTTTTGTGGCAGCACACAGCCTTCCGTATGAAATCCGCTCTCATTATCCGGTACACCGCCTTAAATTGATTCATAATACTGCCATTTCCCATATTTAAAGATCATTAATTTTTTGGATCAAGTATTAAGCATTCGTCTATCTGGTTCTGAAAAAACAGTAAGATTTGCCACTGCTTGCTGCCACTTCTTACGGTCTTTGCTTTGGCAATCGACGATGCTGCCTCGCGCAGAGGCCAATACCAAGTTTTTAATATTGTAGGCTCCCGATTGACTATACATTGGTGTAACTGAAGTCGAACGATTTAACAGCTCTATTCACGTGCTTCTCGTCAGGCATTATACATTCATGTTTCTCTTCTGTTCTATGATGAGTATGCGTAAAATTTCAGGGGACCGTTTAAAGAGCATGGGAGCGACCCAAACAGCGTCAAGATAGCCTAAGGCAGAGACGGTGGTAAAAAGTCGGAAAAGGGGTTGAAGTCATGGCAGCGATACCGACGGATCAGAGCTGTATGGCGTCATTAAGGTTATCGAGCTCGCTAAGCAAGCGACAACTCGTTCGGAGTTATTCGGTCGTCCCTCCTTTGGGACCATGGCGATATGCTCGAGCTAACGTCGTTTCCATCATCTGTCGCTGTCCTAGGCTCCGTGTTGCACTGTTCTTTACGTCTTGCTATCAAAATATAAGGTCCGTCCGTAGCAAAGATATTGTATGCCCGAACGTGTTGCTGTGGCACGCGCGTCACGCTACAATAGAAGAACATGTTTATTGTTTGCCTAGGCAAGTAGCCACTACCTTTACGGGTTTTAATTTGACGCTCTCGTCAATCGTTACTGTGCTCGTAAGAGTGCTAGGTCATGACACAACTTGTGTAAGTCACTGCTTACATTGGTAGCTTTCCACTTGTGAGTCTACGATCTCAGTGTTGCAGAGTAAGTGCCTTGGGGCGTACTTACTAGTCTGACTTCTCTCAAGTCATAGCGTGTAGCTTGTCTACCGATCTCCTTTGTCGATCAGTATGATGATGTCTCGGGCAGCATCGTCAACGTTGGCAGTAGCATGCATCGCGGGAAAGGATAATTATCGAAACACATTACGACGCACACCTTAACCGTTTCAAAATTAATCCTCTACATATCTGGATGAACCTCTATAGCTGGTTGCTCACACCATGGCTGCACCTTCAAGGAGCAGCAACGGTTTCTAGTGCTGGTTGATACATCTACGAATGCTAACATAGCCATCCAATTCGAGCGGCTATTTGAGAAATAAAGGGCGATCAGCTTTAACCTGACTGCACTGCTGGCATCAGCTTGGCTATGCTGCACTAGACGGGACCCCTTGTGCACGTATTTTGATTCGCTTGTCTGCAAAGTATTCGCACTGTAGTTTAGTATAATAAAGTCTGCAGCATTGGAATAAGATAGCGCATTCAAAAGCCCATTCACAGCAGTTGTATAAGCCGTTTACTTGGTCCACCATTAAATGTGAGGGAAAACAGACTGTGTCACCTAATTATTCAGTTCGTGCCCAGAATGACAAAGGCGGTCCTAAAGCGTGCATGAGTGTCATTACGATAGTTGACAGACGGGCTTCATTGAGTACCACTTCGTTAATGCTGCGTGTCTGCGAACCGAGAAGAATGTCATGGTCTAAGCTCTTTAATGACATCAACCGATATTTTAAATCAATTTAAGGCGGTGTACCGGATAATGAGAGCGGATTTCATACGCAAGGCTGTGTACTGCCACAAAAGAGGACTGTATTACGGAGGGGAGTGTACAAAGCAAAGAATGTTTATATTGCATTTTGTATGCATAAGTGTGCGGTGCCTCGCTCGGGAGGTTACGTTACTTAAGGAGGGGCCTCTATTTTAGGTGGGTGTGTACATATAAATCTCATTTTATATTCTGCACTCGATTTGTTTGAATCCGTAGATCTCTCGTGGTGTTGTAATTTTGTGCAGCTGGTTTTTCAATGAATATTTGTAGTTGATAAAGTGAGCGAATTCCCAAATACATGTGTACTTTCGCCATTGTTTCCCAATAAACACCTCCAATTCCCGAAGTTACAAACATTGATATGAAGGTTGATGAAGTCTTGTGTTCGAAGCGGCCAACTTTGATTGGCGCCTCTCATTGAATGAGGTTCGATGTGACCGGCTCGCCCTGTGGGCGGAAGCACAAGATTGCACGCCCTCCCAAAAGTAACTATTTTTATGAATTTGAGTGCGCCCTGCGTAGAAAAAACAAGGACTGCTGGACATTATTTGGCAGGTTTTATGTCACGGGGTCTTGACTCGTTGTGCGACGACATCACTTGACAATCCGGTTACCAGCAAATCGCCGACGTAAAAACACGCCGACGACGGTAACGTTTGTGTCAGTACGGCTGAAGTACAGGCACATGTCCGTCGTGCACTGTCTGAAGCTCAACACGACCAACTTGAGGTGCAGTAACTTGCTCCACAATCTTCCGGCTTGCTTGAATTCGCATAGTGATTTCATGAGCAACCACACTAGATGTTTTGTATCGTCGACTCCATGATGGTCCAAAATATCTTGATCAAATTGCATCCCACTTGATATACATGTAGATGTCGAGGTCGTTCTCTTGTTCAGCTTTGACATACGCATATGGACATCACCATGTCGTGCTGGCACGTTCTATCTGCGCGAGAGGATTAAAATGACCTTGACCGTTCTGATCTCCATCGCTGCGGCGAAGGTTAAGGTGTGATCGACTCCGAACAATTGCTCTTTCCCACACGAAACAAGTATGGCCTTGTATCTTCCGACCTCCCCATCAGCATTGGTCTTGGTCTTGAACACCCACTTGTTGTGTTGTGCGTGTGCGTTTTCTGGCGGACCAACAATCGTCCACACGCCGTTTTCTTCCAGAGCTATCAGCTCGCCCTTGATGACCACGGCCTACTTGTCCTTGCTGTTGCTTCGTATATCCTCACCGTAGTTTTTGGAGTCTAGCACTCAGATTACGGTGATTATATACGGCCTCGACAAAGTTTCTGAGTCATGTTGTCGGACACAAATGACACGGTGCCGTTTCGACTTCATTTCTTGAGGTGTCTTTGTTGTTCCCTATCGATCGTGTCATGTGTGTATCACTAGTTAATCTTGAAGATCAAGCCTTTGTCTGGCTCTTGATATCCTCGTCATCTCGCTCCTCCTTACCGTCTCAACAATATTGCCCTTCGGTCAGATTTCTACATTCATCACACGTTAGGTCACAACCACAATATGGTCCATCAGTATAAAGCACCAATATCTGTTCATCTTGTCGTTCTTGCTAATGTTGATGGCCGGCTTCCCTCGAGCACCCAGCGACTTGTTCGCAGTCGTTCGCCGTATGGTGCAGGTAAGGAAAAGACCACAATGTCACTAAAGACGGGCCTCTTTTTGGGTAGCATCTTAATACGTGAGATGACACCTTCATTTGCCTTAGTATGGCTTCGGTTGAGGATTTATGCTGCATACTGTGTATCATCATCCAAACCCGTCAGAGGAAACCCACTTGCAAACACCATGCTCCGCAACATATTCATGATAGTGCGGTGCATTCTTTCGGCTTTGTTATTGCTAGCCTGGTTTTCACGCTCGCTTACTTGACGAGAGACGCCGGCTTCCTTGCAAAACACGTCCAGAGGCTTGAAGTCGCCTCCAGCGTCTGTACGTAAAACGTTTGTACGGAGATTAAAGTGACGCTGGAAAGCCACCAAGAAATACTTCAATTGCATTGCAGTGACGTCCTTGTGTTTTGCCAAAAACACCCGGTAATAGTTTGAATGATGGTCTCTGAAAGTGACCAAGTACTGTTTACTGAGCTGATCACGAGAGGCATAGGACCTTTCAGGTCCAAACATACCACAAACCCGATCACGTCAATGGGTGATTTTAACCTCTCTTTCGTTCGAGATTGTCTGTTTTTCGTTTGTCTGCCTTGTACGCAGGCCTACAAGTTGACGCGTTTTTTTATCAGTTTGTTTGAATACCAAATGCGGGATCCCAAGCCATCTTGATTATGATGTCGTAGGATAGATGACTCAAACAATGATTATGATCGAACAAAGCTTCGTGGTAAACATCAGTGTTGACGTTGTTCGTAACGTCTTCGACGATCGTCATAATCATGTCCATTGGTGATACAAATCAACGAAAGTCGTCCATCGAAACACCATCGAAAACTTCAACAACCAACACATCGTTGATGCGTTCGACATCCACGATGGGTGAACCACCATAATTCGATACCATAAAACGCATCCCTTCTCGATATTCAAGATGACATCCTTT